AGCCACCAGCCATCAAAAAATGTCTCAAAAAGATTTCAAGAAAATATAACACAAATGTTCGGGTCAACAATTTCACAGAGAATATATATATATGACAGAACTGAGAGTATTAACCCTCTCTGACCGAAGGGAGAAATGAGCCATACTGTGCTTTATACGGCCATACATCATCTTTGTCAAGTCCTGACAGCGTTTTATCAGATCTAACCTTTAGCAGCCTCTATTACGAGCACTAACATGCTCAGCTCTGATACAAGAGCCCAGAAAAGACGGCAGTCTCATATTAAGATGCACATTCAAAACAAACTTCAATTAATGATGCACTGATGCACAGAAACTGTTAATTTTAAACTCGACTTCATTTGGAATAACCTTCATTAACAACATGTTAAACCACTGGACTTCAGCTGGTATGACTGCAGAGAAAAAGCATCAAAAATTGATAAAGGAAATAATAAACTTCAACTCTACTCCAAACAGAGTTTGGAACACAGTCCTTCACAGTAAGCATCCAGAGATGTTTGGCTTCTACAAACACATCTATATTGCGCTGTATGGTGTGAGACATGAGACGAGTGCATGTGTGCGTCTGATCAGGAACGTAAAACACTTGTTATTAATCAGCTAATATCTGTGAGGAAACGCATGTGAGAAAATGTGTTTGATTGCACACAGTGCATGCACAGCTAGAACATGCTCTGAAATCTCCTTTGTGTTGGAACACTAATGAAAGAAGACGGTCCAATCCACTCATAAAAATGAATGGAAGAAACCATAAAGTTCATACGCTTTTGCTTTGACGAAAACACGTGTGTGCATTAGGAGAAACCACCTGAACAACACGGGTTTGTGTGTGATTTAAGCTTAATTTATGATACCTCAATAACATGACAAATTTAATAAATCAATTAGATCTTTCTAACAGTGCAGCAGATACTGACATAAAGTGATCTAAATATCAGTCGTCACTCTATATCTCCAGTAATCTGTCTCAGTAAGATGAGATTGAAATGCTCCAAACATATAATGCAGTGATTGAGAGCTCAAGAAATAAAGGCTCCTCAGAAGATGTGAGATGTTCTGGAGGCTTGTGAAGATCGTTCCTCCGCTGAGGAACAGTGAAAGTAAAGCTTCTGGAAACAAACGCTCCTCAAAAGATCCTGAGGATCAGATTTGAGACTCCAGCTGAAGCTGGACGTTTGTACAATTACACTAAAAGAGCTTTTACTGCAACTCTAAACTATGGTAAACAGAGACAGAAGACATGGAAGAGATTGAGTGTGAAACAGGTTTAACAGCAAAGACTGATTAAGTTGATCATTTAGAGGCCTTAGAAATTCATAATAGTGCAGCTTTATAGCGTTAATGTCATTGATGCCAAAACGAATATGCGTGATGACAAATGAGATTTGAGGGCGAGAGTAAATGATGACAGAATGTTCATTTGTGTGTGAACTATTTCTTTCATATAAAAGTCAAACAGCTTATGAAAGGACACCGTCGCTCCCAGCAGTCTCGCATGAAGAGTCGCATTTCATTACATGACACATTTAACCTCAGCCGCTTCTACTAAAACATACACAAGCCTTATTATCTGCTTAATATTCACTATCAGCTGAATAATTTTTAATGCAACTTATAGCCGAGTAGATGGATAACTCAATTATGCGCACATCCGTCACGGAGCCTGCCGAAGCCGGCTGAGATTGATGGGAAGGTGAAGCCGGCGGATCTTGAGCGTCAGATCAGTGAACAGTCTCTCTGCTTCGCTCTTTACAGGAGAAGCCTCATTACCCATGACTCCACTGACGAGAGTTTATTACGAGGTTAGCGTTTTGGCCACACTATTGTTTGGATGATGAATGCGGCTGCTGCGAGTTTTGGAGAGGAGATTAGTTGTGTTGTTTTTCACTTGGTTCTCAACACTTAAAGGAGAAGGAGGAATAATTAACGGCGCTTGCAAACGCTGCCATTTGGTGCAGACGACGGAAATGCTTGAAAATAAGCAAATCAGGAGTTGTGTCACTCTCATGCGCCGCACTAATTGAAAACATGGCGGCGATGCTGGGAAGGTCACTGGAAAGGAAACTCGCTGACCTTTTCAATATTTCTCTCAAACTCATGTAAACAGAGGAGATGAAGTAACGTGACTGGCTGAGTGAGAGGAGACGACGGGAAGGTGGACACAGGCGGTCCTTTGCTCCAAATGTCAAATGGAAATGTCAATTAAAAATTACAAGCAGATCCGAAAGGTGCACTCTGAAGGGCCTGACAATTATTATTTTTTTTTGACATGCCAAAGTTTATCTGACAAGGCAGCGCACAAACATGACAGCATGTGACGTGTCACGTCTAAACACACGTGAGAAACGCTGAAGATGTGATCCATACGACTGTAATGGAGCCGCAGCGCATCAGATCAGATGGATAGAGTGACCTCTCGTGATGGATCGTAACAGACAAAAGGATGTTTTTACGCTTTCGGTCATATAAAAGCACGTTCCATTCGTTTCCCCCAGAGCTTAAAAGAGTATTAGTCACATTGTGTGGTTAAACATGGACCTACTGATAGAGACGGTTCTACTAGTCCACTGAATACAGTAGGTCTGTTTACATCACATTTTATTTTCTTAAAGGGGTGGTTCACTGTTTTTTTTCTAGGCTTGATTGTGTTTATGGGGTGCAGTCTAACATGCGTTTATGCTTTGTTTAAAAAAAAAACTTTTTCATAAAAGTTTATTCCTTTACCTTTATTCCACACCGCTCTGTCCCTTCTCTGAGAAACATGCTGATCATTTCCTTCTTTTATGAAGCCCCTCCCTCAGAAATA